CTTTTGTTCTCAACTGTCTGTAGTTCTTAGTGTTCCTGATTATGTGATTCACTGCTCCTGCTTTGCAGTTCTACTGTGATCATTTTACAGCTGCTTTGATGCTGTGTTGCTCTTTCTGAGGGCTCCAGTTTTCAGCAGTTTTCCTTCTCCACTGCAGCTTCTTGCTTAAAGTAATTTGGTGTACTTGCTGTCATCAGCATTTTAACATATTTAACATCAAACTGTTCTTACTGGTTTTAAATGGCCAGAAGTGGTTACTGAGTGTCTTACAGGTTTACCACATTGATGGCTCTTCTTTTTTTTTAACAGTCGTTCAAAGTCCAGATCACCATCTCCAAAGAGAAGGTAGGAATATCTTAAAACTGGAGTGTGACATACAGTTACACAGCAACCACTCCAGACATGAGTGCTGGAGAAGTTAACTTGTGCAAGCATAAAAGCTTAAAGCTTGTCTTGATCTGTGAACTGTGAAAAGATGAATTGTTGTGGGCATTTCTTACTATGAAAAGATGATGTTTTATGGGCACTTCCTACCACTGGTAGTCAGAACTTCACAACAGTAACCCTAAGGTAACCTACTTTAATGAAATTATAAAGGACAACAGAAAATGGGGGCAAATGAGAATCAACTATCCCAGAGTTCCTGAGGAATTTAGAATCTGGGGAAGTGCATAATGCGAGATACGGAGCAAATTATGAATATGGGGTAGGATTATCCTTGCAGCTGGGTCTCAGTTGCACAGCTGCCAGGTTTTGCACTGTGAAGGAAGAAACAGGTATTCCTATGGAACCAGAGAAGTGTGTGCTGGAATTTACATAGTCTGAGCTGGTGCCTCATGAAGAGCCCTAAACTGGAACAGTAGGTTATGGCAGAGTAAGAATTCCTTCGCACAGCTGGAGCACAGGCTCCAAGGTCCTTCTTGAGCAGGCTTGTTGTCTTGCCTAGCTATGGCAGCTGATGGCTGTTTATTTTTGCCTGACCTTTTCAAGCTTAAAGCAGTTGTTACTTATAAAGGAGTAAAATATAACACTTCTCATTATTCATGAACTGTAATGAGAACAGTGTGATATGGGGCATTACAAAGCAGGAAGGTCTCCTGAGCATAGGAAACCTGGGGTAGCACACACAGTTTCTGTTGGGTTTGCTGTAGGAGTTGCTCTTGATGTTTTTCTTTCCTTTTCAGTCATTCACCATCAGGAAGCCCTTGAAGGAGTGGAAGTCATGAAAGAATGGATTTGAATTAAAAAAGTTTAAGAAGAAAATTTATTTTGTTTACATTATTATAAGGGATTTTGTGGTGTCTTTATAAATGTAAGGGCTTAGTCCTAGGAAGCTGTTTCTATTGACTAACAATTGGCATGAACCTGGATCTTTTAAAAGTCCTAGTAGTAGACTAACGCAAAACTCCTTTGTTGTGTTAATGTTCTGTGATCTGGAAACATTGGGCTTTTTTTATTGGTGCATTGAAATAAACTGCATTTCTAACGAAGAAGTATTTTGTGATAACCCTGCTCTTTCTGTTAATATTTGGGTAGCTGAAGCAGGTTACAGGTCACTGGTGAAAAGCAGGAGGCACTTGTGAACTGAGGGCAGTGCAGCAGCCAGTCAGTAGCTCTGCAGATGTGTGCCTGTTGGAGCATGGATTGGAGTTACCAGTACCAGCTTGTCAGTGTTAATGTTTGGTCTTGAATGCTATGGTGATCTGTACTGTGTAGTTTTATTTGCACCTCCTCAAAGCTCAGTGAAGCTGAAAACCTGTCTGGAGGTGCTTGTACACTTGATGAATTGACTTGCAAAAATGCTTACAAAGGGCGTTAACAGCTTGGAAAAAACAAGGACTGTGTGAATGCTCCTTTGTCCTGATGATTAAAGGACCAGTGAACTTCTCACTTGAAGGTATTTGGAATACTTCTGGAATGTAAACTGTTGAAGTAAATACTTTCAGAAATCTTGTTCTGTGTCCAGTTGTGATACTTAGGATAAACGGGCAGTTCTGGTGCAGAAGATAATACTGGTTTGGGGAAATTAAAGCTTTTTGTATAGATTGAAGATCACAAGCAGAACTTGCAGGTCATGTTTAAGTAGCAGTCAGTGTATCTGAGGAGTTGAGAGCTCATGTTACACTGACCTTATGTGACTGGTCACATCATCATCTCCTTTGGTAGTAAAGCGCAACCAAGGGACTTCACTGCTGTCCTTACCAGTTGTTGCTTTGGGTAACTGGACTGTGGCTGCCATCTCACCATTTGGGGATTTAATGCAAGAATGATAAACTAGTGCGAGGTATTTGCCAGTTGGAGTGGTCTTTGCAGCTGATAATGGCTGTTAACAGACTAGTAAAGAAGACAGAGTGCCAGGTGATTTTCACTTCTCCTTCCCCCACCACAGTTTATTGCATCAATGGTACAATTGCTGTGTGCAACAGTGCTTTTAAAGAAGGGGGGGTGGCTTTTTTCCTCTCTGTACTGCCAAAGCAAGCTGACTCCATAATAAACCTGTAGACTAAAACACTTCTACTGATTACCTTTCTTTTTCAGTCAGGTATTAGTGTGTCACAAGGGGTGGGTTGGGGTAGAGGAGGATGGAGGGAAGGAGGATTACTGGGGGCAGCACCTATCCGCTGAAGGATGTAAGTAATATAACCACTGTGCCCAGTCCTTGAAGTGTATACACAGTTCCCAGGAATTGCGTATTTGTCAGTGAATGGGGCACTATGTAGAAATCGCCCTGAAGTAACAGCAAGTTCTGCAGCCCAGGGGGTGAGGTAGGAGGGGTGTGCTCCCAGTTCCATACCCACTGTCACCTTTTGATTACATCAGTTTGTGCTTTGTTCCCTTCCCAGACTTGATGGTTCTACCCCCAGGCAAGACACCAGGATATTGCACAAGTCCTCCCTCTGGCAGGGGGAATGCAGCTACTTATCAGTTAGCTGTCCTTGCCCTCATCTTCACATGGAATTCAGCATGTACTCGGGGAAAGAGGTATACCGAACC